TTTTTTTTTTTTTTTTTTTTTTTTTTTTTTTTTTTTTTTTTTTTTTTCCGTGCCCAAAAAAGAAAAAAAAAAAAAAAAAAAAAAAAAAAAAAAAAAAAAAAAAAAAAAATTAAGTCTTAAACTCAGCAACATGGAAGTCATTGGTGACTTTGAAAAAAGCAGCTGTAGTGGAATGGAGAGGGACAAAGCCTGATTAGAGAGGGCGCAAGAGAATGGGAGAGAGGAACAAGACATGGAGTATGGAGAATTCTTATTTTGTGTTAAAGGGATAGTGATTGGAGATCAAGAGAGTTTGTTTTGTTTTGTTTTGTTTTAAAAGATGACCGGTAAGGGGATCTTAACCCTTGACTTGGTGTTGTCAGCGGTGTTGTCAGCACCACGCTCAGCCAGTGAGCGAACCGGCCATCCCTATATGGGATCCGAACAGGGGGCCTTGGTGTTATCAGCACCGCACTCTCCCAAGTGAGCCACGGGCCGGCCCTTGTTTTGTTTTTTTAAATGGAAGATATTGGCATATCCTTTATAAGCTATATGCCATTGACTATTTTCAGTGTTCTAATGTATTTGCAATAGCCTAAGCATTTTACATGGACTATCATCTTATTTCATTTTCAACAACCCCATGAGCTAGGTTCCATTATTATCCTCTTTTCCAGAAGAAGAAACTGCAGACTTAGAGAAACTAGTCAATTTGCCTAAGGACATACAGCTCAAAGGGGCAGGGTGAGATATGAACTCCAAACAGCCAGCCTTGAGCACTAAACTACACTACAGGGACCTTAATGTCTGTGCCATGCCCAGTTCTCCGGATTCCCTCTGAATGAGGGGCTAAAGATGTGGCTGGAGGAAGAGTAAGTTTAGATGAAGCCATACTATTGTGGTGGAGCAGCGGGGCTAGAAAATGCACATGGTAGATGTGGGTATGCAGCAAAAGCACACTGGACAAACCTGATTTAATTTCCCCCAAAGCCTTGACATCTGAGTATATATTAAACTCTCAGGAGATCAGCATTAGAATCCATCTACCCTGGCTTTCTAGAATAGCTTTGAGTTACTCAAAAGAAAGCCCTTTAAGCCCACTTCAGACATTTTCCTAGCTCCTACTGCTCAGGGATGCTGTTCTTGGCTCTACTAGTGTTGAGAAAGCTAGGGTCCCAAGACTTCCAAAATTTGTTAGCAACACAGGAGCATCAGCACGAAAATCAAGACCTTAAGCAAAAATTACTAACCATAACAATGTCACAGAGCACCCATTAGATAGTATGTTCTAAAGACATGTAAGACAGATTTTATTTTCACAGACCTCTTGTCTAGCTACACACATATATTCACACATAATAGCAGAAAGAGGCAGGGAAAGAAAAGACGAACGAGCAGGACAGAGCACACAAACTAAAGACAAATGCACAAGGCAGTATGTGATTAATTGCCAGGGCTGGCATGGACTCTAGACGATAAGCAAGCAGAGTTCAGAGGAGGGTCAGATCAGTGTAGGCGGGATATGTCTGAAAACCTTTAATGGATGGGATGTATCTGAATAGCAGAGAAGGAGGAAGGAATTCCATAGCAGAGAAGGAGGAAGGAATTCCAAATGGGGGAGATAGCAGGTACAAAAGCACAGAGGCAGGAAAACTGAAAAATAAGCCCAGTCCATAATAGATCCTTTGGATGAAATAAAGATTAACGGAGAAGAAGAAACTGGATAGAAAGATTAGTGAGGACATTCAATAAACTGAAGGAGTATGAACGTTCCTGTGAGACTGTACTGGGAAACGACATGATAAAAAGGTTGTCTTTTTTAAAAAATGAATCTGGCAACTACATATAGCACAGCCCTGGGAAGGAGGGATCGGAATCCAGAAGCTAAAGCTGTGCACAAGGAATACAAAGGAATGAATGTGAGACATTTCAAAGCATGATGTGCCACCATTAGTGTCTGTATGACAAATCAAAGGTGAGTTGTCTCTATGTATGCCATGGCTTCTCATCACCAACATGGTCTTGGAAGAATACCTGACCAAAACGTGGTCTTGGGAAAATACCTGACCAGTTCTACCTCCCTCCCCTCCCATAGGCCCCCTGACTGTGCCAGTTTTCATACTGATATTTACAACAAACACATGATTAGATATTTAAACAAATTATTACAGTGGCTTTTCACACCTACTCAAAGACTCAGTGACCTTTTTCTATAAAGACTTTGCCCTAGACCTAGAATGGAGGTCTAATCTGTCCTTGGAGGGCCTCTGGCTTAGATGTAGCCAATGGAGAAAAAATAAAATCCTGAAATAAGGTGAACAAACGCTTTTGCCAATAGAGAGCTATCTCCAGCTTTTACAGCTGGCTTTGCTGGTGGGCACCAAGCTGAGGCTTGCTGAGCCTTGACCCTGCTGGGACTTTCTCAGATAT